GCGGGGACTAGGGCAGGATGAAACCTCCCGGGGAGGGGACACAGGGCAGGATGCAGCCCCTGGGGCAGCCACGGAGACCAGGGCAGGATGGAGCCGCCAGGTGAGGCGGGGGTCGTGGGCTGAGCTGGGCGGGGCCCCCTGGCCCCGCGGAGTCCTGATGTGTCCAGGCAATTTGGGGGCTCACGCTCTGAGGGTGGGGTGCCAGGTGCGTTCCCAGGGGAAGCTTTGAGGAGGGGGTTCCCACTGGCTCCAAACCCCCCGTGCTGCCCACGCCGAGCTCCCGGCTCTCCCCCAGGTGAGCACGGCCCCAGTGGTGTGGATGACTTTAGGAAATGTCTGGATCACTCCGGATAAGCGTTTCCAGCATGACCCCCCTGTGGTTTCAGTGATTCACTCCCATCAGAGACCTTCCGGTTTCAGTTTGAGTGACACTTTAATGTCATGGGACACCATCCCTGCCGCCCGCCCAGGGCACGTCCATTCACATCCCGGTGTCGGCGACAGTGTCCGTGCCCCCGTGGTGGGCTGGAGTGGGGATTCACCGGGGATACTGGTCCGGCTGGGAGGTACCTTGGTGGGTAGCTGGGGAGAGGTTGGAGCACAGGTGGGGTTTGTGTTGGATACAAGAGCTGCACATTGACTCAGTTATTCCATGAGGTGAGGAAGTCTGAAAACTCCAAGCCCAAATAACTAACGGGCCAAATCAAACCCCCTGACAGCACCTTTCCTGGCAGCGGCCGTGCCCAGGGGAGTGCCCGGGCTGGCGGTGCCGGCACCGAACCGTTCTTTTCCCACACAACCTTCCAGCCCCGGCCGGTGACAGCAGGTGTGACAGTCCGACCGTGTGTGGGTTTTCCCTAAAGCTGTGCTTTCCCGGGTCGCAGCGCAGCCCGGAGGGTTCGGGTGCTCCATCCCCATTCCCAGACCGCAGGATCAGTTGCTTGGCAATTCCCTCTTCTCCGTTGTCCCAGGTCAAACCGGCCATGCGAGGGCTCCCCGCTTGCGTGGGGTCGGAATGTGAGACCTGCGGACTTTGGCAGGTGCTTGTGGAATTTCTTGTAGAGTTGGGGATGGCAGGAAAGGCAGCAAAGAGGAGAAACCGTGTGACTGTGGTTTACCCCGTGGCCCCCCCTAGGGCTGTATCGTCTCAGCTTGGTGTCCCCCAGGGCTGCACTGTCCCTGCTGAGTGTTCCCCAGGGCGGTGGGAAGAAGGGGCCGCTGTCTGAGCTCCCTCCCCGTTGCTGCGGGGTTTTGGGGTCGTTTGCCACCCTCATCCCCCGTGCCCACGGGAGCAGCACGGGGCTGTCGGGGCGGCTGTGGGACCCGCTGCCGAATTCAAGCCCGTCCCCGCCTGCACTGCCCTCCTAGCAGGGCCCAGCCTGTCCCTGCGGGTTGTTGCACAGAGCTGCAGCCCAGCACTAAATGACACGTTTCCCGCTACTTTTTCTGTCCCGGGACCCGCGGGGAGGGCTGAGTTCGCCGGAGGCAGGAGCTGTGCGGATCCCTAACGCACCCGGGATTTGCCGGTGGGTTTTGGTGAAAAGCGGGGCTGGGGGAGCGCTGGGGTCGGTCACCTGTCCGTGCGGGCAGGGATGTGCGGGCAGGACACGGCCGTGCCGGTGGCACAGCACAGAACTTCGCTGGCCGCGCTGGTAGTGCAGCTCTCCTTCAGCCCCACGTCCCTCTGGGCAAACTAAACCCGTAATTTCTTCTCCCAACCGCTGTCCCGGCCCTCCCGCGGGCTGCAGCCCCCCCGTGCCGCGCCTGTCCCCTCCCAGTGCCCAGAGCCGGGTCCCACCGAGCCCCCCAGGGCTGCGGGAGCTGTGGAGCATCGCGAGCAGCCCTGGCCCCGTTCCCAGCCCTGCTGCGGTGGCAGCTCCCACTGAGTCTGGGCGCTTCCCTGGATACTTCCCTTGACGTGGGGAGTATCCCAAGGAATGTTTTCTTTCCTTGGGCGGCAGATCGAAGTGCACAGGGTCTGCTCTGTGCCCTGTCCTGGGCTGCACCCCGGCTGACCGCAGCGGGGCCGGGCTCGCCCTCGCCCAGCGCGGCAGCGCCGCAGCCGAAGGGGCCCCTACAGACGCGAGGGGTCCCCGCAACCGGGTAGGTGGGTGCCGAGCAGAGCAGGGACAGAGAGGACCAGCCGGGACACTGAGTTACAGGGAGTCCTGCCGGCCCCAGCGGCTGCCAGGGTGGGTGTGGGACCTGTCCCGCCGCGGGGCTCCGTGCCCCGGGGAGAGGATGGGGACAGTCTTTTGGGGCTGACACTTGGTTTTCCGTTGCCAGGTCTCCTACTCTCTTGAAGGAGCCGGGGGTCACAGCCACCCAGGCACGTCACTCGTGCCCGTCCCGCGGTTCGGGGACCATGGCAGACCCCGAGGACCCCCCGCGCGTTGTTGTGGGCGATGGCGGGGAGGGCGCGGGGGAGGACGGCTCCCTCCAGAACGACTCCTTCCCGCTCTCCTCGCTGGCCAACTTGTTCGAGAGCGAGGACACCCCGACCCCCGCCGAGGCAGCGCGGGGACCCCCCGGCGCCGGGGATGGAAAGCAAAACCTCCGCATGAAATTCCACGGGGCCTTTCGGAAAGGCGCCCCGAAGCCCATGGAGCTGCTGGAGGCCACCATCTACGAGTCCCCCGTGGTCCCCGCGCCCAAGAAAGCCCCCATGGACTCCCTCTTCGACTACGGTACCTACCGCCACCACCCCAGYGAGAACAAGCGCTGGCGCAGGAGGGTCGCGGAGTGAGTACGGGACCCCCGGTGCGGCGGGGGG